TCTCAGGGAAACAGGAGAAGGGAAGAGAGTTCCACAGGCGAGAGGTGCGAGACATGAAGCTATTAGAGTAGAAGAGACGGCTACATTTAGGAGTTTCGACAGTGAAGGGTGAGAGCGGGATGCCAGCCTCGTGGGGCGCTTGAACTCATGAAGTTTGGGAACCAGCGAATGCAGTTCCTCGGAGCAATTTCCATGAAAGTATTTGTAGAACAGACAGAGGGAGGCGACGGTGCGTCTGTGAGTAAGTGACTGTAGACGAGACGCCAGGGCAGGGCCAACCATATTGCATATCCGCTTCTGGAGCCTATCAAGAACCCCGAGGCAAACAGAAGGGGCGCCAGACCATATATGGCAGCAATACTCCATGCAAGGGCGAATTGTGGATTTGTATATCTGGAGGATCGACTCAGGGGAGAAAAACTTCCTAGCGCGGCTCAGGGAGCCAACTTTCCTCGCAGTTTTTAAAAAAATCTTTCTTTGTGAACAGTTTCTAATGAAATTCAGCTTCTCATGTCCATTAACTGTTATCGCTCTTTCTCATACTGAACGGAGTCTCTTTCATAGCCTTTTGTTTCAGATAATGTAGAAAGTTGTTTCATTATTGCTCCTTCTAAGTACATGTGCTATCCATTTTAGTTGTTGCTGCTGTTGGAAGTCTTCATCTGATGTGGGTCTCATTTGGTAAATCTTTTTCTGATTGTATAGCGCCAGTCTGTTTTTTCTAAGCGACGAAAATATGTGGCACCCACTGAGGATCGAACTCACTACTCAGTCGTAATTGATTTAGCAATACGAACTTGCTAAAAGCCTTACACCATATCGATGTTCCCTCCTCGTTTCTCATATGTTCTGTCCTTGAGATTATTAGAATCCGCCTAAACAACCATTTTTCGATTCATTCATTGATATATAGAAGATCTTTTTTTTTTATAATTTCACTGCAAGTAAGGCGATGAAGCCACTAAGACGCAAAGAGGTTAATAAAGGGAACTGAACAAACGTTAGTTAAAAGAAAGAACAATAAAAATAGCAGGTCTATATCTTTGTGATGAGGTAATATGATTATTTACATTATTCGGACTGTTATTGTTGAAACTTGACTAATGCATGGAATAATAATACAACACAAAATGTACTTAAAACAAAATGTATTGAAACAAGAAAGTGTACACAATATTTACATATAGTCTTTTGTATATTCTTGGGAAAACCGTTCCTGGAGAATGGGTTGACTGAGTCGCAGTCGGGCAGAGTCTCTGGATTGAATCTCTTGATTCCTCCCCTCGTCTTCCCGGTACCAACCATATTTATATGGTCGGTACTCCACTATGCAAATTAGGTGGATCCTACCACATAAGTTATCTTCGTCTTCATTGCCAGATTCACAAAATTTCGGCCGTTGTACGCACCGACCTTCTTCAGGTGATTGGAATTTCAAACCGAACTCTTTATTTCGTCCACCGGGAGTAGATTTTCTAATTCCACGTGCCGTGCTGTGTCGTGCTGTGCCGTGCCTCTTCCAGGTGTCTCAGTTATTTCCTTTTAAATCAAATCTCCAAGTTTTAGTTCACCACTGCTGCGGCCTCCTATTGAACTCACAAATCTTTAGGTCTGTTCACTGGATCTAACCAACGTCGATATCCTCTGGGTCATGTTAGACGTTGGTTAGATCCAGTGACTAGACCCAAAGAGTTGTAAATTCACTACTAGGCCACACATCTCACTTATTTAAATTGTAACGTACTTTTCAGGACTTTGCCGATGGTGGCTCTCCACGGTTTCTTACTATATAGGGCATGCTAAGAGAACAGCTTTAACTAAAAATCTTCTGTTATTTTCAGATCACGATCCAGGGAAACTTCCTCTCTGACGCAGGAAATGAAAAGACATACTGAAATCGTTACTTTAGCCTCCAACCACTAAGCGTCGGAGATTGGAACCTTCCTAAATGTTGCTGGATCCTTCGTGTTTCAGATAAGAAAAGAGCCTCAGGCCTCCGGCAACAATGTGTATTCAGTGGTCAAAAGAAAAAAAGAACATTTTCACCGGTCAGATATTGTCAAGAATGTCGTGTTCGCCAAGAAAGTTTAGAGTGTTTACGACGTGAACCCAGTAAAATCAATAAAGGTTATTGCACATCAGCTCCGGGTATCGAAGTCAACAGTCAGACGTTTGGTACACGAAAACCTCAGCTTCCATATATGGTTCGATGCTGCTACTAACTATTTAGAGCTCTTTGAAAAAAAAAATCCAAAGAGGATCAGCAATATTATTGGCCCTGATCTGGCGTCTCCGCTTCAGTCACTTTCCAACCGCCGTAATATTGCCTCTGTTTGCCTTTTTTTTAAAATAAATAGTGAACTCTCCCGTCGTATTCGACGTATGAGGGTCAAGCAGCTCAGTTTTTAGGAACCGACAACCAGACACCAGCTCATATGATTTGATTATAGTGGTGAAGGTTTTGTGCAGAACTTTTTTAAGGGCCGAATACAGAGACCTGGTGTACTGCGTACCACAAGGTCCCCAAACAACCCTCTGCAGTTTTTTTTTTTTCAGTTTTTTTTTTTTTATTTAGAGTTCTCCTTCTTCTATACCGGTTGCCATCCAAGGCTATAGAATCCAGTCTGTCCTGGAAATAATATTTATATAAATACTTTCATGGTAATCGTTCGGATGAGCTAGGGTTCCTAGATGTTTCGAATTTAAGCGTAATACAAGACTGGCGATAAGGTCTCATTAATTTACATTTGAGCAGACTAGATATAATCTTAAAATCTATGCTAATTGTTGAATTTAATCTGCAAAAATTTAAAAGCATTGACAATTGCTATCTGCTGTCTTCCTGATTACACTTCTTATGTTCTCGCTCCTTAGCTATGTTACTGTTCTAACTCTTCCACCCTTTGCGCCTCGCTGAATTTACTGCTTTCTTGGGATGAACTCTATTATTGAAAAAAAATCTCCCCCCCAAAAAAAAAACAAATAAATAAATAAAAACCGGAGAGAGGTTAGTTTATATCCAGTAGTACCTGGGAAAGCCGCATGATCTGGTCGAATCGATTACTGAAAAAGAAAATATTGGAATATAAACAAGTACTCTTGGAGTTTGATATACAATACGACCCGGCCACTACACACAAGGCGGAACTTTTTACCAACAAAATGGAGAAGAAATTCAAGAAAGAGACAATTACAGAAACGTACTTAATAGATCTAGATTTTGTCACAAAGATTAGGGAACGGGAACAAGAACAGGTTTATAACCTGTTCTTGCAGGTTATATTACGTAGGAGTTACTGAATGAAATGGAATACAGCATAGCAAATAGAAGAATACTACAAGCGTGTGCGTCTTGTGTTAAATACCGATTTGAATTCACAAAACATAAGCCAAAAACAATCTGACTGTCCCTGTGGTGTAATAGAGTTTCAACATTCTTAATTGGACTCTAGCTGACATTAAACGAATTGATGTCAAAACAAGAAACCTTCTCACTTGACACTGCATTCATCATCCGAAGGCTGATGTTGATTGTCTGTATGTGTCCAGATCCGAAGGAGGCAGAGGATTAGTTCAACTAGCATTGTATTATAAAACCACAGCTTCAAAGATACCTGAAAACTACAGAAAACTGGATAAGGATCTGCGTCAACGAACTTGAAAGGAATAAGGAACTTTATGTAGTAATAAAGGAAGGCGACAAGTTCAAAATGGAATTTCAAGCGGGTGAAGAAATGCAAATAAACCATAATGCAACTACTGCAGCGCGAAAAGAACATAAAACTGAAGGTAAAAGCAAATGCAATGTACCAAATGCAGAAATGATGGAAAATTAAGCCTTTTTATGGCCAATACTCTCCCAGTACCAAACAAGCTGATCTACATTGAACGCGTTGGTCGTTAAATAGTGCAGGGTTAAAAGCTAAAACTGAATGCTTTATTCTTGCTCCACGGGATCAATGCTTGCTAACTACAAATTACCAGTCAACCCTTTCTGAATAGTTGTGTTAACCCGAAAAGCAGATTCTGTGATAAATATCCACAATGAATAGACTATTTTTTTATTGTGTTGCACTGTGTTAGCACCCACTGAATTACTCGGCAATTTTATGTTTACACACAGACAGAGCCATCCAAAGCTAGTCGCCAAGCGGCGTCATTAGAGACCGCAAAAAACAAGATGTGCCCACTTATTGACATGGTACACCCAGTAGATTGCAATGTATCTTTGAAGATCTTCAAAAACTATCAAATTACAATGATCATGAAATGGAAATCTCAAAGATGTGGCACATGAGGACGTCAATAATTTCAGCTGTAGTTTGAGCCCTCCGATTGATTGAAAAGGTTCTGGTAGACTCAGTGAAAGGATCCCTCGTAAACCACGCCTTAAAGAAATACAACAAACTGTACTCACAATTACAGTTCACGCACTACGAAGGGCTTTATGTAAAATGGGTGTGATCTTAGGGTATTTTTTTTTATTTTTTTCTTATTTTTATGCAATGATGCTACGTTGAAAATATCTCGATGCCATTTCTGAGGAGAGGACACGGAAGAAAATGAGTACACAACCAAAATCACAGGACATAAAATAATAATAATAATAATAATAATAACAATAATAATAATAATAATAATCATAATAATAATAATAACAATCAAAGCTAACCACCCAGGCATTGTCATTAGAGACCGCAACCAAAAAACGTACCTCCTTATTGATATGGCAGTCTCTGCGAACTGCAAAATATCTTTGAAGGTCTTCAAAAAATTATCAAAATACAAGGACCTTGAAATTGAAATCTCAAAAATGTGGCACATGAGAATATCAACAATCCCTGTTGTAGTTGGAGCCTTATGAAGGGCTTTATCTATTTAAAATATGTGTGATTTTTTTCTTCAAAACTGATCAGTGAAAAATGCCATGATGCCATTTCTGACCTTAGGTCTTTGGTCGGAAACCGAAGGAAATTTGTATACACCAGAAATTAAAAGGAAATAATAATAATAATAATAATAATAATAATAATAATAATAATAATTGGAGCCCTCGGATTGAATGGAAAAAATTCTAATAGACTCATTTATGGGATCCCTGATAGCCCATGCCGAAAAGACATAAACAGAATTGTTCTCAAAGGTACAGCTCACACCATATGATGGGCTTTATCTATGTAAAATATGTGTGATTTTTTTTAAACTACTCAGAAAAAAAAGGGAAGCTTAGTGAGAAAATTGCAAGAATGTGTCATTTAAACGCAACCTCTATTCCAGTAGTAATAGGAGAACTAGGAGTAATTAAAAAGAAAAATGTTCAACCGATGATTTTCCTACAATCTTGGATAGATGTTCGAACTCTACCGGGGAACATATTCTCTGTATTAAGCCAGTCGATGGCGCAGGCCGGCAGACTTAATTTATCCCGCTTATATACCGACGGCTTAGTGGTTAGAAGCTTCGACTGACACCAATTCAGTCGGGTTTCGATCCTAGCTAGAGGCAACCAGATGTCTAGCCACACTGATGAGCGAAACAGTCTGTCTGTGGATGACGTTATATATATATATATATATATATATATATATATATAAAACAAAAAAAAAAAACATAGCTGCTACCAAAGATGTGGATCCACAAATTAACGACCGGATTACATAGATAGATAGACACATACATAATTTTATTCGTTTTCTACTGATTATTTAGTCTTTCAACGTTATTTAAAGCAACATTGTTTTTCGTTTTAGATTGTAAGATTTTTATTTGGGAAATAATAATGATTTATTAGCACAATCTACGTGAACCAGTGTTCCAAAGTAATTCGGCCGTCAGCATACAGTGATAGATAGATAGATAGATAGATAAGAAATCGTATACAATGATAGATAGATAGATAGATAGATAGATAGATAGATAGATAGATAGGAAATGGTATACAATGATAGATAGATAGATAGATAGATAGATAGATAGATAGATAGATAGATAGATAGATAGATAAGAAATGGTATACAATGATAGATAGATAGATAGATAGATAGATAGATAGATAGGAAATGGTATACAATGATCGATAGATAGATAGATAGATAGATAGATAGGAAATTGTATACAATGTTAGATAGATAGATAGATAGATAGATAGATAGATAGATAGATAGGAAAAGGCATACAGTGATAGATAGATAGATAGATAGATAGATAGATAGATAGATAGATAGATAGATCTTATTATAAAACGCAGATTGTGTGTGTGTGTGTGTGTGTGTGTCTGTAACGTTTATATATTGGATCGGATTTCCTACATTTTTCAACCGATTTCAACAAAACTTCACAGGACTACATAAAATTACCTTGTGGTGGTTCTAACAGCGCCATAAATGGAAAAAATATAATTGTTTTTGCACAAAATCAATTTGAAATCAGGATTAAGAGACATCGTGAAAAATGGAAGGGGGGACAACTCACATCGGTTTGTTTGTGTGTGGGGGTTACTTTAAATATGGGAGCGGATTTCCTATATTTTTCAGCCGATAAAACAAAACTTCACTTTTTTTTGGGGGGGCAGGTAGTGTTTCTTATTCTCTTGCACACTTTTTTCTTTATTTTTAACATTCAGAATGCTTTAAAAATTCCATTTACAAGACAATTATTTATAATAAGATTCTATTTAATCAGTAGACTCATAACGATTGAAAACAATGTTTTTGTTTGAGTTTGGGTTTGACCAATTCGTAAAAAAAAAAAAAAAATAATAATAATTAAGAGATGTGTGTCCGTCAACCTTAAACAATAATCTTTGTCAATTTTATTTTTCAGTCTTTATGATGGTCGATACTTGATCTATCTCTTACTGTTACATCCCCGGGCAACCAACGCCGAGCTCTACTGCTAGTAGATAGATAGATAGATAGATAGATAGATAGATAGATAGATAGATAGATAGGAAAAAGTATACAGTGATAGATAGATAGATAGATAGATAGATAGATAGATAGATAAGAAATTGTATACAATGATAGATAGATAGATAGATAGATAGATAGATAGATAGATAGGAAAAGGTATACAGTTACAGATAGATAGATAGAGAATGGGACAGACAGAAAGAAAGAAGAAATAAATAAAGGAAGAAAGACTTGTACAGTTAAATCGATAGATGCGATCAAATTATATATATATATATATATATATATATATATATATATATATATATATGTGTGTATAGAGAGAGAGAGAGAAAGAGAGATAGAGAGAGAGGAAAAAGATAGATACAACATGCGTGTGATAGATAAGTACAGAACAGAATATATAGAAAGACAGACAAGTGAGAGAAATAGAGAAAAAAAGGACATCATGGACAGACATACAGATAGATAGATAGATATCGACAGGTGTAAATGTTGAACATCAAAGAGTTCAGTGGACATGAATGTATGTGTTAAGTAAGACAGATAAAATTGTGACAGATATTCAACTCCATGCATACATACGTATCTAAAAAAGCGTCGGTTTTGTCTATATTGAACCACTTCCTTAATACTCAACCCTTGTCCAAAATGCTAATACCAGCTGTCCTTAGTCCTCATACAGTTTTTTATTCCTGTTGGCGACCTTCACTTCTTTTGTTCCTGCGTTTGACACTTTGCCTTAACACCGAAAGGACGACATAAAAATGGCGGAGACATAAGAGACAACATAAAATGGCCGCTGAATTTTCGCTGCGCAATTTTTTCTCCCCCCCCTTTTTTTTTCCTTTCACCTCCGTATCTTATTTACTAGTTTTCACGAAAGCCCTTTCTCTGAGGCACATTGGTTGACATGTTGGCTATTATTCTCGTGAAAAGCGGACGAAAGGTCCAGTTACTTACAAACCGTCTGTGACTTTACCTTTTCGAAAGCATTTTCTCGCGTTGCTTTCGACACCACCAGCGACACGGTGTCAGTGTTTTACTGTAGCATTGTGCGTCGTGATATAAAGGTAGGAGAAATACAGCAGGTTTCTGGTTGCCAGAAATGCCAGGATGCATGCAGGTGACATTTCTGAAGAGTTTGGGACTCTGTGGCTACAGGTATGATGGATGTGGTATCTCAAGTGTGGTCAGGAAGCCTGGAAATTCGTTTGATTGAAAAGGAAAGCAATGAAAAAGACAGAAAGACATGCAATAGAAAAAGGTACAGAGAAAATTAAATCAGTGGGAAAAGAAGAGAAAATAATTGTTTACATCGACATACAATCATATATATATATATATATATATATATACAGTGCTGTTCGATAAAAGTGACTCACCTGATTTTCTTTACTAAATGTTCTCTTCTCCGATGAAACGAAAGTTGAGCCAAATTCAAAGGATAAGCGATCTAAAATCCGAAGAAGAAGCTTTGAAATCTCTTTGAATTTAGCAGTAAGTACTGTCAAGCATCTGTTCAGTATAATGTTCTGGGGATGCTTTTTTTTTCATGGAACTGGTTTCTTAAAACCTACTGAAAAGACCCTCAGGAGCGAGCAGTACAAGAGAATTTTAGAGTCTTGTCTGCTCCCTTCTGCTGAAAGGGTGCAAATCGACCCCACCAAGCACATTTTTATGCAGGATAATGCTCCCTGTCACAAACCAAAATTGATGAAGGAATACTTTGATGAGAAGCAGGTGAGTGTTATGACATGGCCGCCCCAATCTCCTGACCTCAACCCCATAGAAAACTTATGGAGGATGTAGCTCTACTGCTTTCTCGAGAGCCTGTACTTTATAATGCTCCATAAGTCTTCAGCAACTATTTTTTACCAGTGCTCATATTGCAACTTTTGCTGTTATCAAATCATGTTTTTAGCAGAGCTCATATTGTAATTTTTGTTGTTATTACCGCTTTTCTCTGGCACTCCTTATTACAGGTTCCCATGTTGTATTCATTTCTATGCTTGGTCGGCTCAGGAGATTTTTGTGGCCTAGCATATGTGCTGATTCCTAAGTTTACGAATTTTCCAATGGTGTTCTTTGTCTGTGATTTCAACCTGATCCGACAGAGGGTGGTGCCCTCCCTTTTCTCTGCATATGTGGTCAGCCACGCCTGATTTTTATCTTTGTCTTTTATAAATTTTTATCATTTCTATCTTGATCTCTGACGAAACTTTAATAAAATGAAACATGTTATTTTGAGGTCTGTCTCTACTTGTTCTTTATCCTTCCATTTTTTTCCGATTCCTAACCATCCATACCTGATCAAAATTTGATCTTCTACTTATACTAACATATATATATATATATATATATATATATATATATATATATATATATATAGTGGGATTGATGTGAGTTTTGACCCTGGTTTTCACGCTTTTGCGATTTGTCTGACGATCGCAAAGCGTGAAACCCAGGGTCAAAAAACAACACATCAATCCAACCAAATATGTTAGCTCTATCTCTGATTTTGAGCGCTTTCTAATAAGTACCGCGCATATAATATATAAATAATTATATATATATATATATATATATATATATATATATGATATTGATATTTATATACACACACTTTTCACATATATAAAAATATATATATATATATATTTACATATATATATATATATATATGTATGTATATATATATATATATATATATATATATAGAGAGAGAGAGAGAGAGAGATGATACTGATTTCAAAATCGAGCCTCGTACTTGAACGAATATATATATATATATATATATATATATATATATATATATATATAAGAAGTATAGTCTTAAGGTGCTATATATATGGGATAAAAGGCTCAATATCAGAGATAGAGCGTCGTGTAATATAAAAGGAACATAGAAGTCTCTACATTTAGAGGCTCTAATTGTTGACTTCTATATTCACTTATATATATATATATATATATATATATATATATATATATATATATATATATATATATATATATATGAGAGAGAGACAGAAATATATATTAAGCCATGTCTCATTAAATAATTTAGAAAATTTTTTGATAGGATCATCTCATATTTACGAACAAGCTTCTCAGTATTGTTATTAAAAGAAGAAAGATTTCATATTGATGTATATTCATTTATTATGAGTACTTTCGACATGAGCAAAATGTCATCTTCAACGTCTTCATTTATCTAAATCAAATTTGTTGTGTTTATCTGAAAATTATTTTTTTTATTGTTGAAGTGAAAAGCGCTAAGCATATGTACTGTACGATTTTTAAATTTCATAATGCAAGCACCCTCTTGCAGTAACGTCAAGAGGTGTAACAGTGTAATTCCGAATTCTATTCTCCGCATTATTCATAATTAATCTTATTAAGGAATGGTTTAATTTTTTTTAATATAGATTGCTCCAACAATTTTTCATTTATGTTTTATGAAATGTAGAAATGTATTTTTAACAAGATTTTTTCTAAATTGCCACTATACATACATATATATATATATATATATATATATATATATATATATATATATATATATATATATATATATTTTTTCAAGATTCACACACGTATGAAAGTTAGAGCTGTGTATCGAACTTGAGGAAAAATTGTATATTTATTATTAATATATAATTTAGAATTTAGTTCTGCTATTGTACATCGATCTGTTTTATTATAACCGGCACTCACTGTAGGTTAATATATATATATATATATATATATATATATATATATATATATATATATATATATATATGTAAGCAAATATATGATATAGATCCGACAGTATGAAGAAAAATATATACGGAAAAAAAAACAAAGTCTTTGTCATGTTGTATTGATAATGTTATATTTATGAATATGTCCTGAAGATGGTTTATTAGACGGAAACGTCCGACGTTGACATATTAACATTAAAACAACATAATTGTATATAAGGATTTTTGTTTGTTTTTTTCGTATATATTTTTCTTCATATATATATATATATATATATATATATATATATATATATATATATATATTTATATATTTGATATTATAATTTAGGCAAATCCTTCGTTTATGCATGTTTCATTAAAAACGACACATAAGTTACTACGGTTAATTTTTCGAACGAGAGCTTTCTTTTCTGGACAAATGGGTGTAAAAACTGTCCAAATATTTTATAGTTCCAAGCGCTTTCGGTTATACTTTTTAGCCATTATCAAGGATGGTTTCTTTTTTTCAGTTTAATTGAGTGTGTGCATTATGTTTATGTTTTAGTGTGTTGTAGAGATGTTTTTAATTACCGAATACGGTTAGCACATTGGGACCTTGTTCGTAGTTAATATTGTTAAGAATTGGCTTTTTCGGTATTATTATTAAAGCTTGCTTTATTTTTAATCTTTTTTTGCTAGTGGATGAATATATATTTGAATAAAGACAAACCACTTTAAGGTTCCATGTAATAAATTATTTCACCATAGCCCTTTTAAAGGGCTCTGGATCATCAGACTTTACTTCTTGTAATGGATATCATCCTCCTTGGGTCTACCCATTCGGCTTACCTAGTTTTGCATAAACTATATATATATATATATATATATATATATATATATATATATAATGAAACGCATGAAGTCCGACAATTATATAATATTTTCTGTTTATACGTTATTTAATACATATGATTTATTTAAGTAATTGCTTCGTTTTCTTTAATTAATGTGTATTAATTACATTTACCGACTTGATAATAATATATCTGATATATATATATATATATATATATATATATATATATATATATATATATATATATATATATATATATATATGATCGATCGATCGAGAAAAAATCGTCGAAGGTGTGTGTTTGTAAACAGTAATTCGGACTTTGCTAACTTTGTGGCTGAACGCTTAACAGCTCGTCAGATCAAATGACTGTTCCCATTAGGGTTACAGGTTCGAATCTTGTCGGTGGGCGCATATTTTCTACGAAATTTTCAAACATTCAGGCCGTTAAATTTAATTAACACTCTTTAATTAAAAGATTCAAAGCATTTACTTAAATAAATTATATCTACAAAAACGTATACAAAGAATATATATATATATATATATATATATATATATATATATATATATATATATTTATAAACATATAAACATATTTTTATTCAGTCGCAATATTCTAGTGATGAAAAAACTTAGCACCTGAAGATTGCGTTGTGCAGGAAAACTCTGAGTCGTATACTTATTAATATATACTTTAAAGCTCTGCTATATTGCACCGAGTACTATTTTATTAACAGCAGCATTCAATCTATAATATTTTATATATATATATATATATATATATATATATATATATATATATATATATACAAAACCGAGTCAGGTAGGTTTTTTCTGAAACGAGACTCCGCTCTTCGATATAGTCTCGTCTGGGGATCCTCTCTTCCCAGACGCTGAGAGTTTGACCAGCACAGCTGGAGACAACTCTCTCACTGCAGACCAACATACAGTATTTACTACTGTATTTATGTGAATGGAGACATACGCATTTTCTTCCGT